CTAAATGCAATACAGATGAGGACAGAATTATTTCTGTGTTTCTAGTTTTATTTTTGATCCTAAATTATTTTACAGAGCACAAAAGTCTAGTATTATAATGTAAAAGGTAAATCCATTTTTATTTGTGTTTCACATTATACAAGAAAGAAGTTTAATATCCTCAACGTTACAACCACCCAAAGACAATAATGATCCCAGATCCAGGTCCAAGTCATCAGTTATAATAGTCCACATTGGCTGAGAGTAATATTTTTCTCTTGGACTCTGTTTATCTGTTTTTGAGGTACAAAGTGTTGCCCTTCTTATGCAACTCACATGACTTTCAAAGGTGAAGGTTTCCTGTGGAGTTTTTGACTTCTTTGTGGGGTTTTTGTCTCCTGCATAGAAGAGGAGGTCACACAGGTGATCTCACGTTATTCTGCTCATCTACATGTAGCAGAAACAAGGAGCAATATTTAATATATGTATACTTTACTTATTTTAAGTTTAAGATCTCTCTTTCAGGATACCCCCGGGGGCAAGAAACAAAAATCAGTCATGAGAGTTAATGCAGTTGAGACAAAACTACTAAAATAAAACTGTTATTTAATATTAGGAAGGTGATCTGCAGTTCACTCCATTGAAATAGTTCTTAGTGTCTAAAATGAGTGATTCAAGTTCATCTGTTAACGTAGACTGCATTAAAAAAAAAAAACGAGCTTATGACTATAATGCTGATTTTGACTCTTTGACAGTGTCTGATAGTAATACAGTGTCTGATATGCTGAGTTTTTATTTTTATTTTATATAAAAACACAGAAAAAGTGAAAAATATCTACTATTAGCATTTTAACAACAAATAATTTACTAGTTTTTTTTTTAGCTCTCAACAAATACTGATAATTCAATTATTGGAAGAATAACAGCTTCTTTATGGAAAAAACATGTTTTTCCAGACGTATTTATCTGCACCATACTAACTCAGAATGATGATGCTCAGAAGTTCTGTGCATGTCAATGAGAAAACCTGAATATTTCAGGTGATAGATATTATCTTCCTTAATAAATACTGATAAGGTCTTTAATATTTCATCCTCATCAGGTATCCAAAGCCCGACCAGCTGTTGTCATTGGTGGCGGTTGCTGTTGAGACAGGCAGAATGACCCATCCTCACCCCACAGGCTTCCTGGGAGCCGTCGCGTCAGCCCTTTTCACTTCATACGCCATCCAGCGCAGGCCAATCACAACTTGGGGTCTGGGCCTGATAAACGAGGCCTGCCCAATAGCAAAGAACTTTGTTGAAGGTCGAGGCTATGCCGTGGAGGAGACCGAGAGAGACTGGGGCTACTTCTGTGACAAGTGGCAATGGTATGGGCTGCTGAAATTGAGCCTTGTTAGACTGTCATGTTGAATTCAGATTAAAGTTTCCAGCATCAGCAAGTTCTATTAACCTATTTCAGCGTCAAGGTTAACAGACGGTGACATGAAATTGTACTAAAATGTCACCGGTCAGGTTTACTTAAGCAGAACAAATGTCATTTTTATCCCGCAGTACTACATCCTCTGACAAAGATCAATGTAAGTGCAAAACACTATATTCAGGTAAATGTGCGAAATGTGCCTTTTATATTTCTGGTAACTTGATGTAATATATGCTTGAATGAGATCATGTGATATAAAGGAAGAGTTTGTTATTTTGGGAAATAAACTTACGGACTTGGTTGGCTATATAGTGATTACACTGGAGGTACAGCCATCCTGTAAAGTCCAGTATTTGAGCTTACACTAATAAATCACATTGCAAAAGAAAACTGATGTCAAATGCAAATTAAAACATGCAGAATACTTTTTAACATGAAATTCTTAATCACAAAAAGTAAGAAAACTCAATTTTCCTTCAACTTTCATACCGAACAGAAAAACTGATAAGTTGTACAACAAAAGCAAAATGTTTCCAGATGGTCTAATTATAACCGAGAAACCCCAGAGTGAATCCTGCAATTATTGCAATATATATGAAAACGCTACACTGATGTTCAGAGTACCATCTGGAAACGCCACAATATTTGGATTAGCTGTCTAAAAATCATTTTTTAATGACTAACACATTTTGTGACAAACATTTTCATATTAAAGTATTCTTTAATATATATATTTATATATTAAGAAATTATCGCTAGTTGAATTTTGCAATGTTATTTTAAAAGTGTGCTCAAATATGGGACTTTAGAGGACGGCGTTATTTTTTGAATATTCGAACTAGCCAATTATCAGACATGTTTTGATATTTTATTTTTATATTACATATATGAAGCTAAAGAAATTCACTGCGATTATTATTATGTATGTTCACATTTTAAATCTGGCAAATCAAAAATGATTGATTGAGTCATTTTGATGATTTGAGATGGAATGACCCTAAAAGTAAGCGAGTGATTAAATGGTAGGAGTAGCTACTGGACACAGAAATATATTTTGATTTTGTCCAAAGGTAATAAAAAA